CGCTGCAACTCAGCGCGCTGCTTTAACCAGTTTGCCGTAGAAGTACTGCCGACGCGACTGCCCCCGAGACCACCACGAAGAGGCTGAGCGCCAGCAGAAAACCGAATAACATTATTTGCATGTTCGCGGGCTGCCTGGGAAACCTGGGCTGGTGCTGGCTTGCGGCAGCGGCAAAACAAGCGAGATGCCCAGTTCGTGTTGAGCCCGCGCGATAACGACCAATACGGTGTGCGCGGTCCTGGCAGGACGTCGCCATCATCTGCCATGAGGCGCGCCCTTGGGGAGCGCGGTCGAAGATGCCCAACGGGGCGCTGAAAGCTGTACCCACAAAGGCACGCAGCAGCGACTGCCGCTCTGAAGACTGCTGCTGCAAACGCAAGCAAGAATGCCTGAGCCAGAACGGCTAAGATGGCGGAAGAGGATGACAGGGAGAAGGAAGAGGGACGACGGCGGCGGAAAACAGGACCGAGAAACGATGAAAGGAGGATGGTGAGGAGAAGGGAACCGACGGAAAAGGGTGACGGGCAGGACGTTGGAGAGGGAAGGAGGAATGTGGAAGGAGTACAGAAGGGGGAAGAATGGGGGGGAGGGCGACGTTGGAGCAGGAATGAAGTGGCGGAGGAGGACGGAGGAAGGTGGCTACAGAAGGCCAGCGGGACATGCAGCTCCGACATGTGCCAGAGTCGGAAGGGAACGCGAGGCCCAGGAAAGCGGGCGGCGAATCTAGAGGTCTCCCAGGTGGGGTCCGAGAAGATGGGATCGGAGAATCGCACCGCATCACCGATGCATCGGCAATGCGTCGGCGATGTCGGCGATGCATCCGCGACGCCAGCGCGGAGAAAACCTGGCTCCACACCGACCCGCATCGTCCATGCATCGGCGGTGCGGCGCGATCCTCCGACCCCATCTACTCCGACCCCATCTGGGAGGCCTGGAGAATGTGGGCCAGCATCGAGAGCGTGCTCAGCAGAGAACCGATGACAGCGCAGGGGCGGCCACGGAGCAGCTCGAGGTGCGGCCGGCGCTGATCGAAGAGCTCACCGCGCGCAGCCTGGGCCGGCCGACCACGCTGCAGGGGTCCATGCCCACAGGCTTGGCGCGTGGCGATACAGCACACGCGTAGAATCAAGACGCAAGGTGAGGATGCAAGGGCCTTGGAGGGCCATGTTGACACTCTGCGAGCGGGGCGCGGTTAGCCAAAGCGGCCAGGGATGGGCCGAAAGGGAAGGATGCGGCCAACGTGGATCCCGTTCCCGTGCAACAGTGATGCGGCAGAGTTCGTGCCGAGTGCGACGCCCAAGGAGACAGTCCAGGGTACTCGCTGCACGCGCGTGGCTGCCATTGTCTCGTCGTGCGGGCACGGGCCGCCTCGCCCCTGGCCGCCGTGCTCTCAGCGCACCCGAGCTGCCATCCAGAGGAGGGGGGTCGGACGCGGCAGTCTCTACGAGAACGGCGTCCCTTCACGATCCGCTCCGCTGCACCGTACTGCTCCCAGGTCGAGGATCGACGACGCCTCGTGGGACACCAGCGAAGTACGGTGCACACAAGTCATCCGCGGAGCCGCAGCCGCTTCTGGCGACGAGGAGTCAACCAGCGATGGCCCCAGCGGCAAGATCAGATCAATCGGCAACGGATCGGCAAATCGGGGTCCATCGGCACGGTGGCGAAGTCAAATCGGATCGGCCGCGCTAGGATGCACAACTGCGCCCTGCGAGCGCCCAACCGCCCCACATCGCCGCAAGATCGCGATCGAATCTCGGAGCATCGAGTGGAGATAACGGCAGCTCAAAATCGGCCCCCGGACCTCTCCTGGGGTCCAAGCGCACCAGTTTCCCGAGCTGCGTCCAGCCGTGTCGAAAATGGGTCCCCCCGAAGGCCAACTGACGTCGTCTCATCTCGCCCTCCTCTGGAAATCGCGATCGAATCGGACCGAGCCCCGCGAGCTCGAGACCGAACCGGTTCGACCGCACCGCAGTGGGCCCCGACAGGCTGTCGAGCCTCTGGCCAGCGGCGCACCTCACGCCCGTGGCTGGTGGCTCCGAGGGGCTCGGCACGGCCGCACAGAGCGCCGCTGGTGGCGGGGGGCCGCTGGCGGGCGAGAGGACCGCCTCGGCCCGGCCGCAACGGGTCAGGTACGCCGCGCTTGGGCTGGGAAGGCAGCGCTCAGTCCTCCTCAGCTGCCCCTCGGGCGGGGCAGGGCTCATCTGCCCGTCCGGGGCGTGCTCCTCTCCCGCCGTAGCCCCCCCCCCCCGAGAAACATATGCAGGGCGTGAGGCTGTGAGTGCCGCTGCTGTCAGTTGGTCGGCGGCGAGCGAGGGGGGGAATGAGAAGGAGGAGGCCTCCTCAAAGGCGGCGGGGCTTCTCAGAAGGCCTCTGGGCTTCTGAGACGTCTTCTGCGTCTTCGGGGACGGCCCAGAAAACTCCTCAAGCGGCTGGGGAACTTCCGAGCCTTCTGAGAAGGCCCGCCCCTTCTCACTTCCCCACCTTCTCACTTCCCCACCTTCTCACTTCCCCCCCCTCGCTCGCCGCCGACAAGACAGCCCCGGGGGCGGTCCCTCACGTTGCAGTGCGATTTGGCCTCAAATGGATGTTCCGTGAGGCCCTCGAAGGAGTTCCACGCGGGGCCCCAGAAGCGAAGACAGCTTCAGCATGGACGCGTTCCCCTTCATTTGGCATCGCTCGCCGCTGGGTTGGGTGTGCGATGCCGCGGCTTCGGCTGTGGTGCCCTTGTCTGGCGTGGGATAGAGCGGTAGAGCTCGACCTCCTCCGGGAAGCGCCCTGGTCGCCAGCGGGAGGCGGCCCTTCCCTGGGGCAGCACGAGCAGCTGCGCCGCCTGCAGGTGCGGGTCGGCCACCGACGGGCGTGTAAAGACGCCGAGGCGTCGAGGCGTCGAGGCGGACTATGGATGAGGTGTCTTCCTGGGAGGCATTCGGGGGTGGCGGCGGTTCTCGTGGGGAGAGCCGCGGCCGCGGCCGCCAAGTGCGCGCTTCGAGGATCTTCGGGACGTGTGTTGGCGCCAGCGCATGCTTGTCTACCGAAGCCCCTCGGTGCGGCAAAGGCGGCACAGCGAGGGCCGACACAGCCTGCATGCTATCGACGGAGGTGGACGGGGTAAGCACAACTTGGACTGACTCAAGCCCTGAGTCTGAGGATCATCGGGCGCTGGAGGTCAGGGGCGGCCGTTGCTGCTAACGATCTTGCCTTCGGGCTCAGGGTCGGGCTCGAGCGGGAAGTGGCTGGTCGAAGGGGGGTCGCAGCAGGAAGCGGCTGGTTGATAGCGCGGGACATCTGGGACGAGCACCCTGCCACGTAGGCCGAGGGTCCTCGGGTTACTCGGTGTCCTCGCCCTCTCTTTCATCTTTTGGAGGCCTTCTTGGGGAGCGCCCCAGACTCAGTACCTTGCCTCTTCGCCGCTCTCTGGCAGGCTCTTCTAGCGATGGCAGCCGGCATCGGAGCCAGCACAAGCCAACATGAGAAGGAGAAATGCGTCGAAGCAGGACGGAGATCGGAGAGGGGGACGGGCAGGAATGAGGAAGACCAGGAGTAAGGAGCAGTAAGAGAGGAAACGATATGTTAGTGAGGGTGTGGAGGAGGATAAAGGGAGAGGCAGAAGAACTAAGGAGATGGGGCAGGAGGAAGGCAAGAAAAAAAATCAAGGATCACAAAGGATCCGCCGAGCCCCGCTGACCGGGGGTGCAAAGGCGTGTGAAAGATGTGGCTGCCCCCCTCTTCCTTACCCCGCCCGTGGGACCCCAAATCGCGTTTGAAGGGGGAAGGGGGAAGGGGGGCACCCAGGCTCCCCAACGCACCCTTGGGGCCTCCAGAGCCTGCTGATCCACCCTCCGTGGCCGCCAAGGTGCCAAGAAGCACACGCCGAAGGAAGCCCCGAGAGGACAGCGCCAGAGGGCTTCAACAAGCAACGAACATTGATGTCCCCGAAACTGTTGCAAGATTTTCGCGTTCTCGGCTCTCTGGCGTCTGTGCGCTCAAGACGGCCCACGAGACCCCCCAAACTGGACCAAGCCGGCTCAAAAGACCCTCAAAACAGCCCGGAGGCGGCCAAGGAGGGCCCCAAGACGGCCCAATGGGCCCCCAAGACGGCAAGACAAACTGGAATGTGGCCCAAAGAGGAGCCCAAGAGACGCCCGGCGGGAACCCGCAGAGGCCATGGGAGCCGGTCCCCCAGAAGGTGGCCCCCTTCGTCCCCAACTGGCTCCTAGAACCCTGCGACAAGCAGCCAAAATGCGGCTCGAACCCCACGGGGACCACGAGAAAGCTCCAAGAGGCGGCCACCTGGGCCGGCAGCAGGGCCCGAAGATGCCCCCTATAAGCTGAAGGAGGCTTCAGAAGTTCTCGAACGACACCCCCCACGGGCCCCCGATAGTCCCCCAAAACACCCCGAGCTGCACGAGGGGGACCCCCTCAAACAGAGCCCGGACCAAATTACAACCTGTCCTTTTGTCCTCGATCTCATCCTCCTTTTCCTCCTTCCTCTCACCGTCGTCGTTGTCGATGTCATTAGTTTCCACTTTCTCCCTCAGCTCCCGAGTCCCAAGATGAGAAGGTTACATCGACCATCCGCGACGTCAATTCGGGAGCATATCGCTTCACGCGCGACGCGCAATATATTTCAGTGCTCCTTCCCGAGAAGCGCAGAACAAGTGAACCCCATGTGCGGAGTAGCGACTGCGCGGCTGCCACTCCTCCCACGCACCCAGACACTCGAAAGCATCCCATGCGCTCGACAGCGTTCAAGAAACAACCAGCAAGCGCCCAGGAAACTCCGACGAGACTTCAAGATGCCAACCCAGGCGCCCACAAGGCCTCACTTCGTCTGTGGCTCGGCGGAATGGCGTACGCCTCCTGAATAAGGAGCAGCAGTGAGGACCAGGACGGAGATGGGGTGTGAGGACGGGTAAAAACTGAGAGGAATGAAGGGGAGGAGAAGGGATGGGGTTGGCGAGGAAGGTGGGCATAAAGCAACGAGAAGGAGGACGAACCTCGTACTCGGCGCTGAAAATCTTCACGGGAATGGCCCGCTGTGTCGCGCTGGCCCCGTGAGGCTTGTTCGCGATGAGCAGGTGGCAGCTGAGACTCTCTGACTTCAGTATGTCGGGGACCTCGGTGCCGAGGGGGAGGAGCGAGAGGATGGTGGGGTGAAGGGGGAGGACGGGAAGGGGTAGGGATCAGGGGGAGGAGGGGAGAGAGGGAGGTGGGGAGGGGAGGTGGACAGAGAAGCAAGCGAGTGAGCCTCAAGATTGCAAGTGACACACTAGCAGATCTCAGCGAGTTAAGGACCGCGGAAGGATTGGACTGAGAAACTTACCTTCCTGCTAGGCGACTGCACCGCAGCGGCGGGCAGGACATCCAAGGCCAGCGGCCTGGCAAGGAGGCGAAAGCCTCGGATGGGAGGAGGAGGAGGAGGAGCCAACACGCTCACTCCAGCACGGGGAGCGTATGGCTCATCCCTCCCGCGCAGAAGCCCAGCAGCCTTAACAAAACCAAGGCCGACGGACGAGCCAGCAGCCCAGCTTGCCCGCGGAAGGCTCAGCCCGTGGGAAGACCGCAGAAAGCCTGGCCGTGGGTGTGACGGGGCGCTACAGGAGAGACCCGTCCCAAAGACCCATGGCGGGTTGGCCACTCACAGGCACACGAGGCCAAGGGGTCAAACCACACCTGGACAGGGCCGAACGAAGCATAGACCACTGCTGAAGCACAGGCGGAACCCCGCGGCCCGAGTTCCAAGGCAAGCTGCGCGTCATCTGCACCACCTAGAAACAGCAAGAGTACCCTGATGGCACGGGGCAATCACCACCGATTTCCAGAGAGACGCTCCACGTTGTAGTGAAAGTATTCGTGGGAGCCTCCACTCCTTGCCGCGCCTCGGAATGCGTCGCCTGCATCAGGCGACGCCTTCGAAAGCAAGTGTCTAGCGAGAGGCCAGACTCGGTCAACAAGTGGCTAGAGATATGGAGCAGCCGGAGACACCACCGGAAAGAGAGGCACCGCCACCCTGAGCACATGGAACGACAGAACAGCAAGCACGTTCGCAGGCCACTGCCAGTCAAAGTCATCATACCCCTGAGGGCCTGGAGGCACAAGGGGGAAGTCGGTTTCCTCCTCACGGAGCCTCGCGGTCACAAAAAGCAGCTGCCTCCTGCTGAGGCCCCGGTCAGCGGCAGCTGCAGGCAACAAGTTGGCGGGCGGGCCTCCCGCACGTGCAGCACCTCGCTCGCCCTGTGCAGCGTCGTCTGGCACGGTGCCATCCAAAAGAACAGAGTGTGGTGCAGTGGGCCAGCCTGAGAGGCAAGCGGACGGCTTGGGACGTCTGCCTCGCGCCGCGTTGAAGTCCTGCACACCTGTGCAACGTGCTGGGTGGGGTCGCGCGCATCACCTTGGCAGGAGACCTTCAACCTGCGGCATCGACCTTCTGGCACAACAATGTAGCAGACGCGCTCAAGGCAGACGACCACTCTGCCATACACCTTAGGCCGATGGCCGAAAACTTGATATCTTCCAGGCTGTCACCCAGGGGTCGAGTCCCGAGGCCACCAGCGGAAGAGGCGGTCCCAGCGTCCACAGGCATCCCCACCGTCCCACCAGAAGAGGAAGGAGGGTCAGAAGGCCCCATGAACTCGTCAGGAAAGCTCTGGCTACAAAAGCAGCCTCTGGAGAGTCGGAGTGCGCAGCATAATGATTTGTGAAAGCCGAATTTGCACGCCATCTCTGGATGTCAGTTGGCATGCAGTGCCTGCTAGCGCCACTTCGAATAACCTTGAGGGTTGATTGCGAGGTGGCTGAAATGTTTGTAGGTACGACACCATCATAACTGGAAACTAGGGCAGCAACAACATGTCCTGTTTCGGTTAACGGCAGCGTCGGGCATGCGCCTTCTGGCCTGTGCACGGGCACAGCTGTGCCGAGACAGCTAGCAGCAACAATGACTGCACAGCAATGGCCAGGAAACTCCAGGTGGCCTTATTCTCTTTGAAATGCATAGCCTGGGCATCCACTGCAACTTGGGCAAGATGGTGCTCCTGCGCCCCGAGCCTGGCGAAACAATCGACCAACAGCTTACCAAAATAATCAGCCATGACGTCAGCGGGCTCCACGAGCACATCTTCAAGCCCATGGTGGGCCTTGGCTCACGCGAACACCTGCTGAGGTCGGCTTGCCACGCGCCGTTTCCAGAGCTGGGTAGGGGGGGGAGAACGGAGGAGGGAAGAGGAACGAAAAGTGTGATAAGGAGGAGCGAGGAAGGAGAAGAGAGAAGAAACGAGGAGGCAGCGGAAAGGATGAAGAACAGAGGGAGGCGTCTGGCTTGGAGGGGGAGGCAAGAGTCGCAGACGGGGGAGGCAGAGGAGGAAAGCAAGGCCCTGGGCGGCTTGACACAGGAGGCCGGCCAGGGGACCTCGGGAAGAGGCACGAAGGAGGCCGGGGGAAGAGCGAAGGAGACACGGGTGACAATGTGTTGCCATCGCTCGGACGTCCATTCCCCGTGCATTGTTCGGCTTTGTGCCTGCATTGTCGCAAGATTATCCAGGATGCTATAAGATGCTATAGGATGCTCCTCGATGGCCGCCGCCGGAAAAAAAATGCACACGTCCGAGCGATGCCAAGATGTCTGACTCGGAAGAGGAGAAGGTCTGTAGCAGGCAGAGGTTGGCAGGTAGCAGAGAACAGGTAGCAGGTCAGAAGTGACACCCAGCACCTGCCAGCAAGCGCGCTAGCTGCCGTCGGGTTGCAGGTAGCGTGTAGTAAGTAGTGGGTCGGGCAAGAGGGTGATAGCTGGTGGCATGTTGCAGCAGGTAGCCAGTAGCAGGTACCAGGTGAAGGTAGGAGATTGTGCCAGGAGCAGGTGGTAAATTGGCACGTGTGTAGCACGTATCAGCTAGTGGGACTTGATGTCTTAGGTATCAGATTTTACGTGGTGGGGTGGTCGGCAGCAGGTAGACGTGTGTCATGTAGCAGGACAGCAGGCCCCAGGTAGTAGGTAGTAGCTGGTAGGTGCCAGTGGATGTGACAATGCTGTGACACAGAAAGGTGGAGAGTTTGAAGGAGCCGGGGGTGGAGCAGGAAAGAAGAGAAGGAGGAGGGATGAGACCTCTGGGAAGGTGAACGTCATCAAAGGTACAACCCTCCTCCTCCTCCTCCTCCATCCGTCTCGCCCTTGCTCTCCTCCTCCTCCTCCGCCTCCTCTTCTTCGTACTCATCCTCTTCCTTATCCTCTGTCTGCTCGCCCTCCTCTTCCTCTCCTTCTCCTCTTTCTCGCCATCTGCATATCATCCCTTTCTCCTCCTTGAGGCCGCCGAGCTGGGGACGCCGAGGAACTCAGCAAGGCGTATCGCCGTCGTGATCTGCACGGACTTGTAATTGCCACTTGCCTCGACCGACTTGGACATCGACTTCGACTCCGAGAAGAAGTATATCACCTCTGGGCGGAGAGCGGCGGATGGCAACAAATGGATCGACATCGACTGCGATGTCGACGTCCACATCGACCCCTACTTGAGCATGGTCTTTGCCTCCTTCACCCCACCTCATCATCCTCTCACACCTAGGCCAAACCAATCGGCACGCCCTAGAACCTTCAATAACCCCGTAAGGGCAAAAATGCAAAAGACGCCCTCCCCCCGCCAGCCTGGGCGTCAGGCACGGCAACGCTTACATAGCCCACCCGGTCCCTGCCTGCTGCCTCCTCGGCCGCCCTCGACCAGCGCGCCCCAGAACCCTATGCGTGGAACCCTATGCGTGTGAAACCCAATATGTGGAATGTCATGTGTGCGGAAGCCGATGTGTGGAATCCTGTGGACGCCATGGCCGTCCCAGCACCCACGCACGAGTGAGAGAGCAAAGCCACTGCGGTCCAAGCAGCCACGGACGAGTGAGGGAGTCACGTCGTACCGGTCCAAGCACCCACAAGCGAGGGCGGAGGTCAGGACCACTGTAGCAGTCCAAGCACCCACGGGCTGGGGCGGGACTCACACCACAACGATCCAAGCAACCACGGGCGAGGCCTGCAGACGGCCCATAGCAGTGCAAGACACGGGGGATTGAGGGCGTCACGCCATAAGGGACTAGGCACCAACAGAAGCGAGTGCTGGGGACAGGCCATAGCGCCACAGCGGTCCCAACACCCAAGGGCGAGTGCCGGGGCCAAGCACCCACGGGTGAGGGACTGGCCATAGCGGTCCAAGCACCCACGCGCGAGCAATGGGGGGACAGGCCGTGGCAGGCACCCACGTGCGAATGCTGGGGACAGGCTGCGACGGTCCAGGCACCGACGGGCGGGCGAGCGCGGGGGACAGGCCGGAGCCACATCTCATCGGCAGGACAGGGGCGTCCACCAGTATTGGCCTGCAGCCTGGTTCGATTACGTACGACTCAGAAGCCTAAGAAACTCAGACGCAACACTGCAGATGACTCTATTGCCGCATAACGGACAACCAAACTGGGACGGCGTAGGCTTCGTCATAGCCACACATTCGCTTCGCAAGCGGCGCAAGTGCTGACACACATTGATCAGAGAACGTTTCCACCAGCACATCCAAGCACTGTGCGCACAGCAGGCATCGACATCATTGTCCAGGCTCGAGGTTATGGCCACTCAAGCAAGGGCCACGGCATGTTGGCAGGCTGCGATGACAACCATCCTCACCGAAACAACAGGGGCTGTCCAAGACCGACAGCGGCCGCTGTTGGGCCGGCGACACTTGTCCCACAAGGACGACGTCCGCCAGGACACCGACACCAATGCCTGTCCGAGATGGACCAGAAATTCTAATGGACTTTGTCCCAAATCATTATGTCCCCATTTCGGCCCTCCCTGGAGAGAGAGAGAGAGAGAGAGAGAGACATATATATATATATATATATATATATGATCCCGAGCTCCGGGCCCACGGCCCCCCCCCCTCCCTCCCAGATGGTATGGTCCCAGAGACGACGACGACGACGACGACGACGACGACGGCGACGGCGACGACTACGACGACGGCGACGACGACGACGACGACCACGACGACGACGACGGCTGCGGCGGCGACGACGCCAGCGGCGGCGGCGGTGACGACGACGATGACGACGATGACGACGGCCACGACGACGATGACGATGACGATGACGACGACGACGACGACGACGACGACGACGACGACCTCTGAACCACCACAGCACCACACCACATCCACCGGGGGGGGGAGGGGGGCACCGCTGCGCAGCACCACGCCACGCCCACCTCTGAACCACCACAGCACCACACCACATCCACAGGGGGGGGAGGGGGGCACCGCAGCGCAGCACCACGCCACGCCCACAGGGGGGGGCGGGGGGGACCATCGCGCGGGGGGGGGGGGCCCAAAGGCATCAGCATTGGGGGGAGGGGGGGGGGACCCAAGCCTTGGACCATGTATATATATATATATATATATATATATATATCGGAGGTTGGGGCGTGAGATCGCAGTGAAACGGAGACCCCCCACCGAGAAATCGGTTTCGAATTCGTGTTCGTGGCGTGCGTGCGGGCGAGGCGAAGCTGCGCGTGATCCTCCTGTAGCTAGGCCGAAGTAGGAGCGGCGAAAAACCGTTTCCTGTCCGCGGGTGGCCGGGAGGTGTCCCAGTTGGGCCGGGCGGTGTCCCCGGTGTCCCGAGGGTAGGAGCGAATGTCCGTTTCCCGTCCGCCGGTGGCCGGGAGGTGTCCCAGTTGGGCAATGTCGCTAATTTCATAATTTATTGTGTGTTCGGCGCCTGCGGCGGGCTTTCTTATCCAATCCAGCTTAAGTTATCCAATCCATCTTGTCCAATCCAATCCATCTTATCTTATCCAACACATCTTGCCCCATCTTATCTTATCCCACCCAATCCAATCCACCCAACCCAATCCATCAATTCATTTGTTTCTGCGCCTGCGGCGGGCCAATCCAATCCATCTTACCTTAGCCAATCCGTTTCTTCCCATCCAACCCATCTGATCTTATCCAATCCATCTTATCCCATCCAATCCAATCCACCCAACCCAATCCATCAATTCATTTTTGTCGGCGCCTGCGGCGGGCTTTCTTATCTAATCCAATCCAGAGAGAGAGAGAGAGAGAGACAGAGAGGAAGAGAGATATGAGATCAAGGTGACAGGCTGGAGGTCAGTCAGGGTGGGCATTTCATCTCAATCCGCCCCAACCTCCTCATCGCCCGCAGGGCGGTCGTTTAGGTATACATATCTATATATATATACATGTATGTATATATAAGTATATATATATACATATACATATATATATATATAGATATGTGTGTGTGTGTGTCGATCCTGGCCCGAGGACTCCCCAATTCCATCCAAACCTGGGCCGAGGTGCCCCAGGCGGGGGTGAGCAGACGAGAGCCCCCCACCTGTGATCTCTGTCGGAGCGTCGGACGTCTGTGTCGCCGCCCCGTTCCTCGCCCTCCTCGTCGTCCTCCTTCTTCTCCTCCTCGTCCCCCGCGGAGATCTTCGTCGGTCGCCAGGGGTGTGTCCGAAGTCCCCAGTGGCCTCTGGAGGTCCCCAGGAGCGTGAGAAGGACCCACATAACAGGTAAAGCCCTCGATCCCTGTCCCTCGAGCGCGCCTCGTCGTCGGTCATCGTCCTGCCCTTCGACTCGATGACGTCCAGCCACCGGTTAGCCATGGCGCCGACTAAGTCGTACACTTCCTGGCCGGCGCTGCTGGGGAGGCCCCCGCTCCACGACGGAACCAATGCGGGCTCCTCCTCTAAACCCTTGGACCGCGTGCAATTGCACGGGTGGGTCAGTCGACGAGGGGCTGCAGCTCCCTGTCTTCGTGCTCACGGCGCGCTTGCCTCCCAGAAGGGGGCCGTGGGCCGTGGGCTCGCTGCTTCGCGGCGGCTGCTGCTGCTCCTGCGGCTGCTGCTGGCGTCGGCGTCGTCTGTCTGTCTGTCTGTCTGTCTGCCTGTCGTGCCTGTCCTGCCGTGTCTGCCCTGGGCCTGGCTGCCCGTGTCGGCGGTGTGGGCGCTCTCCGCCTGGCTGCAAAGAGGCGTGGGTGGGTTTCGGGGCTCGGGCCGCTGGCGCGCGCTCCCTGCCTCGCTACAAGAACGGGCGTGGTCGGCAGTGTCGGGTCCGCGCTGTCGTCCTGTTGGTGGCGCACGGCTCGGCGAGCCGCTGTGCCAGTGCGCGCGTGCTGGTGTGGTTTGCATGTTCCCGCCCTCCCGCCCTTGGTGTGTGCCTCTCGGTGGTAGCGAGGTTGCGCCCGTGGGCATGGCGGTGCGACCCCCAAAACGGCACACAACCAAGCAGCAGGGTGTTTTCCGCGGCATTGCTCCTGCGGAGGCCGCCGAGAAATTGTTCCTCACCATCTCTCTGCCCTGCCGTCTGGGCCCCGGACACACTCTCGCTGCGAAAAAAAGCAGGATGAGAGAGAGAGAGAGAGGAGAGGTACGCCCAACCCAGCTCCTGCATGCTCAAACGTCGTGGACTGGCCATCTACCAGGAAGGGAATGAAAGGGGCGCCGCAAAAAACATGCAAACGCTGCTCGCACAGACCTCATAACATGCGCCTCCAGGGTCTCCTCTGGGCACCCCTTTCCGCGGGCTGTGGCAGGACCCTTGGACTTCTGCACGCCACGCTGAATCGCAGTTCCACCACCTCGTGGTGAATCAGATCGCGAGGGCCTGCGCCTCTTCACCCTCCTGCTCCTGAAGAACAGCCTCCGCATCCTCCTCCTACTCCTCCTGCGCTTCCTTCTCCTGTTGTTCCTCTTCCTCCTCCTCCACCTCCTGTAACTCATTCTCGTCCGTGGAAGCGCTGATCAATCACGGTGGCCTCCTCCTTCGCAGGCGACCGTGAGGGGAGCGTTCAAGAGGGGGGGGCTCGCTCAAATCATGGCACGAGGCATGCGAACGGCCCAAGGCGGGCCAGGGGACGTGATGAAACAAGAAGAGGCGCTGGGGAATCCGGGGAGATCTCGTGGCCCCAGCCATGTTATCCCCCCCCCTTCGGCGGTGAGCCCAGGGGGGAAGCGAGAAAACGCGGGCCTTCTCAGAAGGCTCGGAAGTCCCCCTGCATGCCTTCTGGGAAGTTTACTAAGCCTTCTCCGAGGACATAGAAAAACCCTCAGAAGGCTGGACGGCTTCTGAGCCTGAGCAGCCCCGCCGCCTTCTGAGAAGGCCCTCTCTTTCTCACTTCCCCCCCTCGCTCGCCGCCGACCCCGAGTCAACACCCCCTGCTTGGCCGCCCTTGACTCTTGCTCATGCTGCTCTCTCTTCGGGGCCCCAGAGCCGTGCGCTGACGGACCGCGTGGTGACCTCGAACACCCCAACGACCTCACCTCGCGGTCCGTCACCGCACGCTTTGGGGACCTCGGAGGCCTGTCGCCCGAGACGTCTTCGGAGAACGACCCGAGCCCCAAAACCGCGCGGTTACCGCGAGTGCCCACCTTGTCATCGCTCGGACGTCCATTCCCCGTGCATGTTTCGGAATCGTGCGTGTATAGTTTCGCAAGGTGATCCAAAATGCTCCTCGATGGTCCTTGCCGAGGAAAACGCACACGTCCGAGCGATGCTAAGCCACTGACTCACCACGCGGTGGGGTCACCAAACCGTTTGGGGGACCCCGCCGCACGTCGATGTTCGATGCGCCCCCTCTCCTGCTTGGTGGTCCCCTTGAGGAACTCCGGGAAGACCTCCGTCTGGAAGACCTGGATCAGGCGGAGCTCGCCGCGGCGCTTCACCTGCCCCCCTCCTGCGCGTCGCCCTCCTCCTCCTCCTCCTCCTCCTCCTCGTCCTCCTACTCCTCTTCCTCCTCCTCCTCCTCCTTCTCCTCCTCCTCCTGCTCATCCTCCTCCATCCCTCATTCCCCCTCCGCCCTCCATGGTTCCTTCCCTTCCCCCTTCCCTCCCCTCCCTCCACCCACGTCCCCCCGATCGTCCTGCTCGTCCTCCTTCTCCTCCCTCCACCATGTGTCTGTCTTTTTATCCTCCTCATCCTCCTCTTCCGCTCACCTCCCTTACCGTCATCGTCGCCCTCCTTGCCATTACCATCATCATCACCATCACCAGCATCAGCATCATCACCATAATCAACAGCATCATCATCAGCAGCAGCAGCATCAGCACCATCATCACTAGGACTGGCTCCATCATGACAATCATCACCATTGGCATCACCATCGCCATCGAGACCAGCAGCATCGCCACCACCATCACACGCACCATCCGCATTGTTGTCGTCGTCACCGTCCCCAGGAGGAGGGTTGCAGCAGCAGCAGCAGCAGCAGGAGGACAGTGAGGAGGATGAAACATGAGAAGAGGAGGCAGGAGTGCAGTGAATCTCTCGGAACTCGCTGCTCAAGGGAGCGAGGGTCCCACATGGCGTCTATGGATTGGGGGGCCGGAACATGGGAGAGCACATCGGACGGCACCAGGATAGAGCAGATCAGGCAAGAGTCAAAAAGACCACGATGGAGAGAAGAAACGTTCCTCTGGTCTCACATCTCCGCTTCTGCCTTCCCTTCTTCTTCGTATTCCTTCCCATCCTGCTCCTCCTCCTCGTATGGTCCTAATTCCAACGAGCCCCGCCAGCATTGTTTCTCCACCTTATCGCTCGTTTGAAGGGTTGGCAGAACACGTCGATCGCCGAGTGAGGAGGAGGAAAAGTTGAACAAGGCAGAACCAGTAGAATATGTATACCCGTACATATGTATATAACCCCATACCCCTGATAATAAACCCCTGGGGGTAATAAGGTCTGGGTGTGGGGGGATAACACAAACGTTTTTTCCCGGCGGAGGATGATGGTGATGAAGATGGTGTTGATGATCTGGATGATGATGATGATGATGATGATGATGATGCTGATGCTGATGATGACGATGATGCTGGTGATGATGATGACCCTGGGCGCTCGTGTAACTAGATCCTGGCACACAGCTGTTCTTGGTGTCCTCGAATCTCGCATCTAAAGGTGGCCTACGCAATAGAGGTCCTTGGCGCTCCTGGCCAAGAAACCTCTCTTGCGTACCATCTCGAACCATTCGCCCATGCAAGCTCGGCACCCTTTAGTGCCGTCCTTGCTCGGCAGGCACTTGCTACAGGCCTGGGCGCCCCTCTCCACGCGATAATCAAGTCCGCAACTTCCCCCCGCGATAATCAAACTCGGCCTCGCCGCCCCTCTCCACAATCTAATCTGTCTGACCCGGGGATAATAGCCACTCATGGGGTTCAGGGGGGGGGTACTCTTTATCATCAGGGGAACGGGGTTACATAGTATACATAGTATGGGAGCGTGAGACAAAAAGGGCGGGAATGCACACCCGTGCTGCAGACAGCGCGACTCTGGCGCGCAACGCATGTAATGGACAAGTACAACATCGGCATTCCGACCTGGAAAGCCGCAACCAGAAGCAGCGGCAGCAGTAAGCCCGCAGACGGAGCCGGAAACGACGATGGCCCTCTGCCCCGAGGGGACAACGTAGGATACCAGGGCTGAACGGTGTTGTTCGTTTTCGTGTTGTTTTCGTTTTCCCTCGTTTTGTCGTCAATCCACCTTCAATGCAAAATCGAAACGAAAACGGACCACGAAATCGCCAAAACATCGTTTAGGTCCAGGCTTTTAGAATATATCGGCAGCGACGATCCCCATCCCGGCCTCGCCTGCCCCTTCCAGGAGGGGGGAGGGAAGCATCGGTATGTACGGTGAGGGCATTTTAACTCTTCGAGCGGGCGCGAACACCCGCGTGGTCATGCCACGAATTCACGGGCGCTGCCGCGCGCCCGCGCGAACGGCGCGGGGCGGCGGCGGGCCCCGCGGCGTCCGAGGAGGGGGCGTTCACCTGCGCGGGCCTCTCGTCCTCGCCGCGCGCGGGGCCGCAGCGCCGAGCGCCCGCGCGCGGTCCCGCTCCCCGCGCGCCTGGGCTGCCTCGCGCCCTCGGGCACGAGCGTCCTCCGCCGACGCGAAGCCGTGCGCGCGGAGGACGCCCTCCAGGGCGGGCACGAAGCGCTCCTGCTCGCCCTCGCGCTCCGCGGGCTGCACCGCCGCCGCGGCCGAGGACGCCGAAACACTCGCCGACGCCGCAGCCGCTCCGCCCGCAGGGCCAGCCACGCCAGCTGCGCGGCCCGCTGTATGCTGCGCTGCCGCAGGCCTTGGCGACTCGCCAGGGCCGTCAGCGCGCGCCGCCGCCAGGAGCTCGTCCGCCTGGGGGATGGGCCCGTCGAAGTCGTCCATCTTGAGCGACCTCCACCAGCGCTGCTTCTCCTCTTTAGTAAGCGTCTTGAGCATCGCGATCGGCGGCTTTTCCTTGCCTGGCAATCGCAACTTGCCGAAGTCCGTCCTGGCCTGAGCTCGCGACCCTTGGCTTGATCTGTGATCACCACCAACACACGGCTTGGCCAGGCCCCTGTGCGCGTACCTCGGCTGGTGGCAGTACATGAAGCAGCGCGTGCACACCAGGATGGCCTCGTTCGGCTTGCTCACCACGTTGGTCTGCATCAGGTTGTGGCCGTGCGCTACCCATGGCTCGGTTCCAGCCGCGGGAGCAGGAGAAGGGCGTCCCTCCTCCAGCTGGACGCGCTGAGAGGACGCTGCGGACGACTTGGCCTCCGCTCTGCGCCGAACCTCTCTCGCAAACACCTCGCTCGCTTCCTCAGCGCGTGGAGTGCCAGCCTCGCCTGCCACCGCAGCGATGGCGGCGGCTGGGGCGGAGCCGGCCCTCTGCGCAGCCGCTGGGCGCTTGCGGACAGGCCCAGCCGCGCCGCCCGCGGCGCCTGCAGCGGCACCTGTTGCCGCTGCGCTGGCCACTGCCGCCGCGGCGAAGGCTGCCGCTGTCACAGCCGCCGAGCCTCTGCCACGCTGCGCTGTGGAGGCGTCCAACAAGCCGTAACCCTCGTCCTCGCACGTCAGGTTCCACGGGTAGAGGTACGGCTGGAGGTTGACGTCGTCCAGGGCTTCCGTCGGCCAGCAGTCGCGCATACCAGAGTCCGAGATGTAGACCTCGATCTCTGCGGCAAAGCGAGCTGCGTCACGTGCCCTGGCCAGGCAGCCTTCCAGGAGCTGGACGTCGTCGGCTGAGGGAGCGTGGAGGGCGGCTCCCTCCTTCGCTCGCTTGTCTGCTAGGCGGTTGCCGAACAGCTCGATAGCCGTCAGCTCTCCTCTGGCCACTGCCGCTTCTGACCGATGTGCAGGAATGTGCTTGACCTTAACACCTTCAGCGGCATCCCCAACTCTGGCCCAGAGGTGGGCGTAGGTCGAAGTGGGGCCCTGAGCTCTGCCAAGGTTGAGCGTCGAGTCCACCGTGCCCTGGCAGTCGATCAGCAGCTGGTAGTTTCCAATGACCTCAGTGAGCGCCACCACCGCCGCGTAGTCTTCCCCAGCACGTGCCGTCTGCGATGGACATAGCCTGGGAGGGACCGCCCCCCACGCCTCGGCTAGGATCGCACCGTCCTTGGACATCACGACGACCGACCAGCCCGCGCTGCGCAGGCGCGGAAATTCACCGAGGATGCAGGAGCCGTCGGTGAATACCATGGCACCGTCTTCGACCACAGCTGCTTCATGCCAACCATGAGAGAGCCGCTCCCATTGGGGCTGCCAGCGCGGACGATGCAACAGCAGGGACGGTGAGGGCATTGTATATGGAACCACTGGATGAGGAATCCAGGGTCTGGAAGCCCGCAAAACTCCAGTCGTGGAGTGGCCATGGGTATCACCGCCGCCCTCATTGGATAAGGAATCCTCCAGGGTCTGGCGCCTCCTGGGACTATTCCTCAACAAACGCCTCCACCGTACCAGAAAGCTGGAAGCACGTGTGGCTAGATTCACGTGTGGAACCTCTGGAGGCCACGCGTTGGACACACATGCTGAATCCCAATCTACGCTTCCGCAGAAGAGCCAAGCGCTGGACAGACGCCTTGCCAGATGTGCACCCAGCTCTCGCCCGGGCTGGCCACACCATGTGTACCCAGCATCATCATAGGATGACTGTTCAGAAAAACACAAGTGCAAACGACCGAACAAACGTGCTTTGCCGCTAGGGGGGACCTTGAAGAATGCCGTACAAACATCTATGACAACGACGACGCCCACAAGCAAACCTGGACCCGGTTCGCTAACTATCGCGCGGAGAGCTGCTGTATGACGCCCCCCCCCACCGCATATCCTACCTGGAGGCCTCTCGCATGGAGCCGAAGTAGACTGGGTCGGAGAATCGCAACGCATAGCCAATGCCGTCGCCGATGCAACGGCGACGTCGGGACGGAGAAAATCGACTCCAGATCGCGCCGCATCGGCGATGCGACGCGATCCTCCGACCCCATCTACTCTGGCCCAACTTGAAGGCCTGGATCGTCGCCTTCCACACTCGATGCATGCTTTTGTCCTCCAGACCCCGTCGCCTCGAAGCCCTTCAACTCGGCGATCGAGCCGTCGTGCTCAAACACGCAGTAGCGTTTCTTCAGGAGCTTGTCCTCGAGAGCCGAAAAAGGCTCTGCAGGGGGCCCGCTTCGGTGTTCCGCCTGCGAGACCGCCACGCCACACACATACACACACTCACACACGCACACACACACACACACACGGAAAACAGGTGGGCTGGGAGGATGAGGGAAAGGAAGAGCTAGCAAGAGGGACTCAGTCGGGCTGTCGACGGGCCAGAAGATTTGAGGACAAACTAGGGACCATGGGGGGCGTCCATCCTCGATAGGGGTGCATCCGAATAGGCCCCTAGGGTACATCCCCGACTTCTCTTTGTTTTCCAAGCGACTCGGGCATCGGGAGCGAGAACTCGGCTGCGAAGAGTGTCACTGCATTGCACGCACGCGGTCGCTTGCTCATGAGATCGTGCTGAACCTTCACCTTTCTGATTCGACCAGCTCGAAGGAATAACCCCCTGGATCCCCCCAAGGACCCAGGTGTCATCAACAATGACATGTATAGCACTGGATAACAGACCTTCTTGGTCTCCACCCATACATCCATCGATCTATCCGTACATGCCTCCTCCTCCTACTCCCTAACCCTCGCGCTCCTGCTCCTCTCTAGCTCGCCACATTCTGGCGAGCCTCCGCCGCAACGTGATGCATGAACCCGCTTAATCTTCGTCTGCAACCCAAGACGTACAGCGCAGGTCTGCCCCAGCAAAACCCTTATTCATGTTCCCCTCCACTCTCATCCGGCCTACCATATTAATGATGGGTTTCCTCGCCGTGCTGCCCCAAGGGGATCCAGTCGTCAAGAAGGGCTCCGATGAAAAACAACGTGCTTTGATCGCCCCTCGGTCGTCATACACGCACGGTCGCCTCTTCCTCCCTCGCTCCCTCTCTCCATCTCTCCCTCCCTCCCTGCCTCCCTCCCACTCCTCCGCGACCCCGTGCACAGGAACAACACGCAAGGGCCTACGTGAAGCCCACGAGGAGGGAGGAGGGGGGAGGACGAAATGAGTGGAGGAAGGACAGAAGAGGGAGAGAGGAGGGAAGAAGGAAGGATGAGAGAGGGTAAGCGACGGGGAAGAGGACGGGGGCAGGAGGTAGGCGGGAGGAAGAGGGGCAGCAGGAGGATCAAGGTCTTTCAGCGCTGTTGTTCCAGAAAGAAGCGTGGGAGGGGGGTGGGAGGAGGACCAGAGTCCCAGGATGCCTCAAGAAGGTTGCAGCATACCCTCCCGAACCAGTGAGGGCGAGGACCAACATAAACCCAAGATGCCGCCTCAACGAGCTTGCACACTCTCCCGAACCAGGTCCCGTCCTCACAAGCGCCCACTGACACTTCCGAAGAGAACCCTCCGCATGGAAGACGAGCGCCCAATGAGCCTGTCACGGAATCGATCGCAGCGTTTTGAAAAAAAGAGCTGCCATCCATTATTGCAGCGAATTGTAAGACACGCCACGAGATATGATCACGAGGTTGAAAATGGTGTCGAAGACGAGATTCGCGCTTGACAAGAGAACCGCCCTCCATCCGTGCACGTAGCTATAGCACCAGGTGGGCACTATTGCAGTAGAAGTTGAAGGACTCTCTAAAGAAAGGCGAGAGCCCAACTTGAAATGGTGAACGCCTTTCTCCGTATGAGCGTTGATGTTGCCGCTAAGTTTAGAACCATGAAACATGAGGTCTCAAGACAGAGCTCCCTGTTATAATGAACAGGGCTGCATCCGCGCATCAACTGAATTTGTTAGGCGAATGATGGCCATCCTCCGTCCACCCGTGTAAATGTTGGAACCAAATGTGCGTGGCACTGGGGTGGTAGCCCCATATTGAAAAACGAACGGTTCGCTCTATAGCCGTGTAGCCGCTCCAGGGACGTTCGACGAATGCGAGCGGCGCTCAGACACGAACCCCATGTTAAGACCGATCCCCCACCATCAAGAACTGCTGGGGATGCCAAACCTCCAGGTCACAAGTGGTGAGGAAGTCTGAGGCGGAAGACCCGGAGCGCCCTACCGACAGGTCTGGTGGTGCCACGAGGAGCGGCTACTGATCAGAAGATGCCGTGGAGGAGCAGGGCCGAGGTTGTTGGACGCTGCTTCCCACTTCAAGAGGAGCGCAATGTCCAAGCAACGTCTTGGGCTGACCTCTCGAAGGGAGGGAGGCAGGGCGGAAGAGAGGGCCGAGAGAGGATGGGGTCAGGAAAGAGTGGTGAGGAGCAGGGGAGACCCGAGGTGCATCAACGTTGCTGCAGCACTCCCCCCCCAAGCCCCAGCTTTGGAAGCCCCTACGAGTCTTCCTTGCCGTTGCGGGAAGTAAGGGACCGAACTCTATACACCGACGCTTTTTCCGACCCCGCACTGGAACTCCCAGAGGAAAGCGGATCATAATGTATACGGGATCCCGGTGTGTATATTTTGTTTTTTTGTCCACGGGAAAACGGGGAAACCAGTATACACCACACCACCCCGATGTCGCCCCCGACCCTCGAAAATTCCAGGGGTTGCAAACCAGCCCGCCACTGGTAACGTATATGATCCAGTTTCCGAGGGAGCGCCCCCCTGGACTGAGGAGCGCCGGGTGGGCCTGCCAATCAGGCAATAACCGACGTGCGAAGGATCCACCCTCCAAGCCTGGCTACGGTAGGTTCGTGCGGCGTCGGCGCGCGCAAAGGTTTTTGACACCGCGCCGATCGTTCAACCTTGAACCGATCGCGGCCCCGATCGTTCAAAAAGAATGCGGTCGGGTCCAGTGGCGTTACCGTGTCCAGGGGAGCTGCCGCGTCACAAAGATCAACCTTGAACGCTTTCGCTGTCGTTGCCGGCGCGCCAACACCGCATGAAACTACCGCACATGAAATGCAAAAAGTTCTGATGCTAAGTCAACGGAAGTGTCCTGCGATAGCCCCGTTCGTAAAACGATCTGCCCGCTATCTGTGTAAGCGTAGCACTACTCCAAGATCGGATCCCGAAAAATGGTGGGAGATCGAGAGTCACTCGCCAAGCATATCCATATTAGCGCAACATGCAAAGCATTATTTGTACACCCGCCCCAGGCTCGCCTGGCAACGGCTACGCCACGCCAGGGTCGCCGAGAAGCCGTTGACTGCGCAACTTCCTTTGGTTTCCTTTCTGGTCTAGGACCGGGTATGCCCACTCTTTCGGGCACCCCTGGTCCAGTCCGTTTCCAGCGTTTCGGCGTGTGGTTGGCTATCCTCTGCAGGACCTGCCACAACCAACCGCACGGCGCAGGCGGACGCTGTCACGAACGACACCTACGTGTCCGACTGTGAGAAAACACCACGCGTATCTCTTGAATGCAAAGGTACACTGTGTCTCGCTGTATTTTGGGACTCCTTCGTACACACCAAAATTGCCAGAAGATGCCAAGACAAGCTCTGAGAACCTGCTGTGGTGGCCTTCAAAGAAGGGAAGAAACAACTGCCCCCTCTTTCGTAACACCGCCGGCAACCGCGGCTACGCCGGGTGCCTGCCCGTTGTTCCTTGAGCGGACTCTACCCACGGCCCAGCGGTGTGAGCCACCTGGCCCCTGCGTTAGGCGCTCGTGCATAATCAGAGCGCGCCTGCGAAGCCCCCTTTTTGATAAGGCCACCATTGTTACCTCTCTGATTGTTGGGCAAAAACAAGCCGCACCACCGAAGACGAGCTCCTGGACAGACTTTCGGCTGATAACCAGTCTTTCGCCAAGTATGTACACCCGCCTCAGGCTCGCCTGGCAACGGCTAAGCCGCGCCAGGGTCTCCGAGCAGCCGTTGACTGCGCACCTTCCTTTGGTTTCCTTTCTGGTCCAGGACTGGGTATGCCCACTCTTTCGGGCACCCCTGGCCCAGTCCGTCTCCAGCGTTTCGGCGTGTGGTTGGCTATCCTCTTCAAGACCTGCCACAACCAACCACACGGCGCAGGTGGACGCTGTCACGAATGACATCTCTGTTTCCGACTGCGCGAAAACACCACGCGTACCTCTTGAATGCAAAGGTACACTGTGTCTCGCTGAATTTTGGGACTCCTTCGTACACACCAAAATTACCAGACCGGGCTCAGAGGACCTGCTGTTTTGGCCGTTGAAGAAAGGAGGAAACAACTTTGAGGCGAGGGCCTCATTTTGAAAATGAGCCGCCCTGCATCCGAGTAGACGTTGCACAGTGTGGAATGTCGGCCCACTCAAGTTGAGGACGTTTCAAGCGAGAACCGCATGTCGAAAACGAACGGCCATCCACCCTTGCACCTGCTGCAACTTCTTGAGTCGAATGAGTGCGGCGCTCAGACGCGCACCTATGTTTGAGAACGACTGGGCCTCCAGGCCTGCAACCGTTGCAAACGTTCCAACAAATGTGCGCTGAACTGAGGCGAGCGCCCACCCGTGTGACTGCTGGATATTTTCTCTCATCGCGCCTTTCTGGAGGGTTCGAACAGCGGCGAAACAAAAGAACACAGAAGAGTCCCCTCGGGGGGACAGGGAGCCCGAGAACGCCCTGTCCAGCAGCCGTGTTGCTTCGGTTTTCCTCACAATGTATTCAAAGAGTCGTGCTCTCGCCTCACTGTCGGCTACATTTTGGTCCGGACGCCCACGACCCCTTGAACCGAAAACTGAGGTGCACATGGCCGTGCTCTCACACTGTCCCGGCTGCATTTGTCCTAGGGATTCCAAAGGGATATACAGGAATGCGCGCTTTCAAGAACCGACCTCCTGCTCCTCGACCGGCCTCTTGACCTCTGCTGCTATCGAAGTGTGTTGCTGGAGCATATGGTAAACATACAGATAGCAGATGACGAAGCTATCTTAAGCGAAGCGTCCAGCCTCTGGGCTACGGACATGTCTGGCGGTGCGACAGGGCGGATATTTTCGCAAGGAAGGAGGATGAGAGAGGGATAGGATGGAATGAAGAAGCGAGAATCGCTTGTTGTCGGCAAGCCCCACTCAGGCCCAGGGCGGCCAGCGTTGGCGCCCGACCCGCACACCCCGACCAAGCGCCAGGGGTGCTTCAGCATGCAGCCTGCTGGCGCGACCTGTGCCACGGCTGGGGCGGCGCCGACCAGCTGTGCACCTGCACCGACCCTGGCCAGGCTCATCCTGAGCTCCAGCTCGGTATGCGCCCTCCTGGCTCGACCAGGCAGGCGTATACACCGTTCCTGAGCCCAAGGATCGGCCTGGCCAAGATCGATGCAGGTCGGGTGTGCAGTTGGCGCCGTCCGACTCGGCGGCAGTCGTCGGGCCATGACCTGCTCTGCCTGCAGTCGCCGCACATCGTCAGGATGCAAGGTAGGGGAGCGCAAACCCTAGGGCGGCCGAGACGCAGCGAGTGTATTCTGGGGGCCAGCAAACAACAAGTACTAACTGTCGAGGACGGGCCGAGAAGACAAGGATTGAAAGACCAAAAGCACGTGGCACAAACATACCTAGACGTTCGGAGGCTGCCGTGAGGGGAAGTGGTCCTGAAGGAAGTGGGGTCCTGGATCCTGAGCTGTTCCCAAAGATCCACTCTTGATCCTGAGTCGTCTTCCTCATGCTCCCCAAACTTGGACCGAAAGGCCTCTGGAACGGCTGCGATCGGGATCGGCTGGGACCTGGATCTGCTGGGGTCGGGATCAGCCAGGATCTGGATGGGCTTAGAACGGGGATTCCGCGGAGACCTCCAAAGACCTCCAGCCGTGCGACGCAGAAACACCCACAAACATGAGGGACGACGTCGTCGTCGTCGTCGTCGTCCGTCGTCCGTCGTCATGCGTCGTCGTCGTCCGTCGTCATCCGTCGTCATCTGCTGTCGTCGTCGTTGTCATCATCCGTCGTCATCCGTCGGTGTCGTCGTCCCCTGAGATCCGATGAGATCCGAGGTCGCGGGAAGACATTGCAGCATCGAGGGATGCCGGGATGCCAGGAGCGACCTCGGAAGACCATCTCATCCCTGTTCCGAGCTCCTCGAGCAGCGCAGCGGGGCCGCGCCCTCTTAAAGCGCAGCCTGACCGACCCATTCCGTGACGAACACCTTCCGTGACGTCCCCGCGCCCTCCGGGCCTCCCTCCGGCCGCATGCGTACAGCTTGGATCTTGGGGTGAGGCGAGGGGGACGTCACGCGAGGGAAGGGTTTGCCAGGGGCTAGGGGTCGGTCAGGCCGCCCCCCAGATCGAACCCCGTCGCGGACGTCAGGGCAGAGGGCACCCCAAAACGCACGGCGTTGTGCGCCGATGACGCGAGCTCGACCCCCCATCGGACACGGAGCATCCAGACCATACCGTGCGACCCACGCGACTGACAGAGCACCAACCTCTGCTCCGCAGCTCGATCGATGCACCGCTCGCGCGCCGGCGAGGCGGCGAGCGGCTCAGCGCTGGCTCGCTCCATCTCCAAGCAGCTGGGTCGAATACAGAAGGCTCATGCTATTACGTTGGTTTTTGACACCACGTGGATCGTTCAATCTTGACCGATCGCTGTTTTCCGATGGCGCGATCATTCGATGTCTGCCGATGAGGGGGAAAAATGGCGGCATTCAAAATCGAACGGCCGCACTGGGGTCGCTTCAGCTTCAATGCGGCGCGAAGCTGCCGTACGGCAAGTTTCTGTGTTGACGACATGGCCCACTGGTCACACAGCATGAAGAAATCGATCTTGGACGATCTTTCGCATCTTTCGCATGGGTTCTGCGCCGCGGCTTGCTTCCGTGGCCCCTGGGTCCGAGACTGGGACCCTGGACGGTGTTCAACCCGAGACGGCCGTTCCCGCGTCGCCCTCCTCTTCGAGGCGGCACGAGCCTTCTGTAGCCGAGCCGCCACCCCATCTCACTGGCCCCAGAAGCGAGCCTATCTTGCCGTCTTGGCGGGCAGGACGTCAAAACGAGGACACCCGAAGCCACGACGCGCAGAGCTGACTGCGGCTGCACGCGCGCCTAGCTGCTCACAGCTCCCCGAACTCGAAGCCGAACCTCTCGATGTCCTTTGCCCAGGTCCGCGCGACGCGCCCACGGAGCTCGTCGTTGAACAAGTCGACGGTGCGCACGCGGTTCGTCCCAGCTACGCGGTGCTGCCTGACCCTGGTATCGCTTGGGTCCACGCAGTGCCTCTCCTGGACGCCGAGGAGCCCGCAGACATGCCTGAAGCTCTTGGACAGGTCCTTCAGGACGAGGAGGGACGAGGGTTGATCATGGATGGGAAGGAGTGGGATGAGGATGAGGAGGCGAAGGAGGAGGAGGCGGAGGAGGAGGAGGAGGCGGAGGAAAAAGAGAGCGAGAAGGGACGGAGCCTTGACCCTGCCCACGTAGGTGAGAACCTGCTCCTCTTCCGACCTGCCTGGAGGCACCGCGTAAGCAAACTCTGAGATAGAGTGCAGGTAGGCGAAGGGGTGGATGCCAGCAGGGTGCGTGTGCTCGGGCAGCATCCGCTCCAGGTACTCGCGAAACTCTCGGATCTGCTCATCGGGCTCCTTGGAAGTGTTGAAGCCGCGCATCCACGCGGCAGCGGACACGACCCGACTCCACGGGTCCTTGCCAATCACGAAGGAGACCGAGGAGTTGAACGCGCTCCAGCCAGCACGATCCATGACCCTCTGCGCAAGCCCATGGTTGTCGTTGGCCTGCCCAGCGTTGCTTGCGCAAGGGATGCCCGCGGAGCGCAGCGCCGGGGAGACGGAAGACTCGGGTTGGCCCGACGGGGCCGTCAGGAGAATGACGAGACCAAGCCTGGAGATTCACGCGAGCTCCGGTTGCGAACATTCCATCAAAACGCTGGGCCGTCCGAGTGCAGGATGGGCCCGTCAAAGAGCGCATAGGCGAGCCCAAGATCGAGCGAACTCGAGTCTTGCGTCTCCCCGAGAGCGTCTGGACCAACGCCTGCGACACGGCGTGGGTGGCCGTGTGCGCCGGCATGGCCATGCGAAACGGCAGGCCGTCGCACCCCCAGAAGGTCCGGGGAAGGGCGCGCGCGCGCCGCTGCTGGGGCCCCGCCGTGCCGGCGCGGGGGGCGGCCAGGAGCAGCGCGGCGGACTGCGTCTCCGCCAGCTCGTCGAGGCGCTGCTCCGCGTACCAGTCGGGCCAGTCCACCTCCACGCTCCCTGGCCCGATGTGGAGCGCCCGGGCCGCCAGCCCGCAGCAGGCGAGGAGAGGCAGCCGCGGGGCGCCCATGGTGAAGTTCGGTAGGCCTCGGCCAGGGTGCGCGGGCCTCGTCTCGAACGGGCCCCTTGAGGCTGAGGAGCTGATGCGACGTACCGGTGGCTGCGGAGCACTCCTGGGCGTTTATGCTGCCAGAAGCTGCGTCGGGGCCTCGCCCTTTGGAGGGCCAGTGCGGGTGTCGGCGGACCCACGGGCGTCCCTGGCACAGCGGGAAGCCCTCCCAAACCTGCGGTGTCTCGACTTTTCAAATGCGGCCCCCCCGAAGTCCCGACCCTTTCCCTAGGGCAATTTTCTCATCCCGAGTCGTTTTTGGGCACCTTTCCCGAAAACTCCGAAGAAACACCCGCGACCGCGTCCTCTGGACACGGCCGAGCTGCCCGCCTGCGGGCCAGCACCTTCCGCAACAACCCGCTCGCCTCCCCCGCAAAGACGTCGGGGGCGCGCTGACCCGGGTCAGCGCAGGCAGGGATCGGCCAGGGCCCTGTCGCGAGCCCTGGCCGCCCGCCCAACAGAGTCGAAAGAGGGCCTCAAGAGCGCGGATCAAAACCACGAGCCCCTTCGCCGAGAACCCACGGCACCGTGGAGACACCCCAAACGAAGCCTATACTCCAAGGTGGAGGGAGCAAAGAAGACGAACTAGCAGGGTAGCCCTCCAAAGCTAGGGCTGCTTCTTACCCCCGTTCCAGGAACTAGCTGGCAACCCTGGGGCCGCCAAAGGCGGAACGGGGGATCGGTTCCTGGTGGCTCCCAAGCCTGGGTCCGCCAGAGGGCATTGGTCGACCCTGAGCAGCGCCGACTCCGTGACGTGAGCCCAGACCAAGCCGCCCCGTGAGCCTTCCGGGCGCATAGCTGAAAACGAACAACGCTCTGGGTAAGACAACGAGGCGCGATTGTCTTGGCGACCTTGCGGATTACCTGCGCTGCTACATTGTGTCAGGCAGGTGAGGCCCAACTTCGTTGAAAGTGGTACTCAGCCAACACGTGTGCGAAATTAACTGGATTCGCGCGAGCGGGAACCACTGAGCCCGAGAGAAGTAGCAACAGGAAAATCTACAAGAAGATGTAAGATTTGCAAGTCGTGAGCTGTCAACTCCACTGCTGGCGCAAACATCCCACACTTCCACCCAACGCTCGCTCTGACAAAAACCATGCGGCCACGATGGCGGATTCCCTTGGCATTGGCCGGCGCATCTCTGCGGCAACGATTGCACGGGCAAACTCGCGCGCAGCCGATGCGGCCGCGATGGCGCTTGCCGAAGGAAACTCCTGAGCGCGTTTCAGAGGCCGCGCTGGCGCCCGGGCACGTGCGGTTCGGGAACTCGGGCGAGCGCGGCATCATGATGCCATCGACAACGGCAACAACGATGATGATGGCGGCAATGGCGGCGATTGACGATGATGACAATGGCGGTGATGCGATGGCGCTATGCGGGCGATGGAGAGGGAGTGCGCGCGTGATGCAATTCAAGAAACCTGGCCAACGTGTTGTTGAAGAACATATGGTTGTTCACGTGTCGCCGCGCCGTTTGTTCTCGACGCGCCCAAATGGACGACGCCGACGCCACGGCAAATCCACGGCAAACCCTGAGTCCCGCACCCCAAATAGACGAGGCCGCCACGCGGCAAACCCCACGGCGAGAACACCGCCCCACAGGCGGCGCTTGCTCTTGTGGCCGCGGCGCCCTCCCGAAGACCGAAGGCCGCGCATCGGAACAAGCGGCGCAGCGACAGATGGTGTTGAAGAGCTCCTCCTTTAAATGCTATGTATGAAAAGCCAATGATGTTGGAAGCATGGGAATGGGTGGTGAAGCCTATCTCTCTTTCGAGACGAGAAACAAGGAACAGGGCCAGGAGGACGATGAGGAGACGAAGGAGGAGCAGGAACAGGGGAGACGATGGGGCATGTGCGTCGTGCGCCCAGCGGGCATGTGCGTCGTGCGTCCACCACGGCCAGCCTCGGAGCGGCTGCGTCCGCGGAAAGATCGATGCACGGCCATCCTCTTCGGTGCTGGACGGAATGACCATTGACTTGTATGGCCCGTCGATCTCGAAGAAGATCGAGTTCTCATCGCGCATTTTCCACTCGCCACCTTTGTCCGCGCCCCGTGGGGGGTGCACTGGCGCAGACACTCAAAACCGCGGAGGCGAGTCCGACCTGCGCGACCACGTTGGCAGAAGCAACATCGGCATCGGCAGGACTTCCCGAAGTGTGCAGCTTCACCATAGTGGGCCGCACTGCCCGCCAAGGAAAGCATGCGTGGGTAAACCAAAAGGTAAATACCGATACCGCTACTGCCTGGACCTCTCCGGAGGCGCGTTCTGACCAGGATTTCGAAGCGAATCCGGCGGTGGCGACGAGGAAAGGGTAGCGGTATCGGTACTTTTTCCTCCTCTGAATGCGTGCCCATCAGGCCACCACTCGAATTCCCACCCCTCGATAACAACATGCACAACAACATCACGCCACAGCATGCACACCGTCTCCACTCCGCGAGCCTCCGCCGAGGAGAGCACGCCGTCGACCATTGGATTCGTCGGAAACATAACACCATTCCAAAACACCATACACAAACACACAAAACAACATACAAACTCCGTCGTGACGACCTCGGCCTTGGCTTTCTGACACCGCGTAGATCGTTCAACTTCGAGCGATCGCAGCTTTGGGGCAAATCAGCGTCGGCCGATTCCGAGCCACTCGCGGCTTCTAACCTTGAACGCCCGCGCTGGGATCGCCACCGCACCGAAGCGACACGAATCTACCGTAATCACTCCTGAGAGTACCCTGTCCACCTTCTCGGCCGATCCTTCAAAGGCGCTTTTCTTTGCAACGGACAGCACCGCGATACAGCATCTCTGTGAAGCAGTCCTGACAGCACAGCCGGCATTTAAAACAGCAGGAGGGGAGGAGGGAGGAGGAAGAGGAGGACGGAGGAGGAGGAGCGGGGGGAGAAGGAAATCGCATTGTGTGTGCACCCTCTGTGATCCCACCGACCACTGAAAACATCAAGCATCACACCACGCATAAATTATGCGGCGCATCCACAAGCATCACACAAAGGGGAGCTGTGAGCCGCATACATTATGCGGCGACGAATACCCAGCCATTTGGAAAGCCGAGGTGGCAATCTCAACGGTCGCAGCACGAGGGGCTGATCAATGCCAAATATCAACACTCAGCGGTATTGCAGTCACGGACAGGAAAAGGGAAAGAGGGAAGGAGAGGGAGCGGAGGAGAGCAATACATCAACTGCCCTGGGAGAGCGCTGCTCCAAGCTCAACGGCCCACCAGACGGGCGGCGCTGGGGGCTCCCAGATTCGAAGAAGGACGGGGGGAGGGAGGGAAGGACCTGGGGAACCCAGCGCAGAGCGACACTGGAGCAGCATCAGCCCTCCAGGTGGCCGGGGGTCTATAGGGGACCGCTACCCGCCGAGGCAGGGGAGGGGACCGCAAGCCCAAGTGGAGGCAGGGGGCTCCTACCCGCCGAGGACGACGACGACGGCGGCGACGGCGACGACGACGACGACGACGGCGACGACGACACCGAGGGCGGCGGCGACGACAGCTTCGGCGACGACCAAGCCGAACGAGAACGACGACAACCCCGACAACGACCACGACGGGAGGGAGAGGAAGGGGGAGGCGAGGGAAAGCTGACACCTACCCAGTCGCGCCCTCGCCGTGGACCCAGCGGGGAAACGCCAGCTACTCTGGCCCTGTGCTTCGATGTCAGTGATGGCGGTGCTGCTGACGCTGCTGGAGCTGCGGGTGCTGCACGCGCTGCGTTCCCCAATCCTGCCGCGCGGACTGACGACGCGGTGGGGGTACTATCCACCGGCAGAGCCCTGGCGCGCGCGGTCCATGATGCCGTCCATCTCCTGGCGTAATCGCCGACGTTCAGCCTCGCATGGGTTGGGCGGGGGCGATGGAGGCGATGGGGTACCTGCAGAACTCGACAAAATGGCTCTGGCCAGCTGCCCGCCATGAGCCGTCGGGCGCGACGCAGCACTGGAACCTGCGGCTGCCACCGATAATGCTGGCGCCGGCCGCGTAGCTGCCGAAACTGGATTCCGGCCGGCCGCCTCCTAAAGATCGGCGCTCTGCATGCGCGGGGTCACCGCCATCGGGCCCCAAGACCAAACGTTTTGGCGTCCCGTGGGTTTCCCTGGTCGCCCAAATCGAATGGGCACCTGGGACCAATCGTTGAGCGGCTGGCCCGCGCGCTCCGCGGAGCCCCATGCGCGCGATTGGCGAAAATGCGGGCGCTGGCGCCGGTGGTGCCGGTGCCAGCGCCGACGGGCGCCGTCGCGCACGAGGTGCTCATCTGAGTCGCACTCGCCGCGGCTGAGACGCGCACCGCCAGGGCCCGGCGGGTGGCCGCATCGGCCAACTCCCAGCCAGCGGGTCCGACGCTCGCCCTTTCCCTTGCCCCTGTCGGACTAGTCAGCGCGGTGGCCTGTTCCGTGGCCCATGGCCATGCGTTCGATGACCCTCTGCGAGCGGCGCGTGGGTCTGCCGCTATTAAAGCGGCGCCATCGGGGCTTGGCGCGCTCGCGAGAACAGGAGAGGTGCGCGCCGCGCCCCCCGACGGAAGCTTCGCGCAATTCAGACTCGTCGGCAGCGAATTCTTCGCCGAGCGAGCTGCCGGCGTCGGAGTCGGTGCGAAAACCGCTGCTGGACGCGCCGCCTCCGGTGCTGCTGCGGTGCTGGCGCGGGCGGCGAATGGCGCTGAAGGGTGACTCGGTGCTGCTCCTAGGGCTGAAAAAGGCCCGTGCCATCCCAGCTCGACCCTGCTCCCGCGCCGCCGGCGCTGCGATCCTGATATCGCGATGTCGCGCGCGCGCGCCCGCGAGAAACGCTCGACGTCGGGGCGAATGCGCTGCCGTGGCTAGATTGCCCAGCGACCCCTCGACCACGTGCCCAAATCTGCGCAGCTGGCCCATCGCGCGTGCCAGCTATAGCGCGTCCGTCGGGCAGGCCACGCTGCAGCGCTGCAAGATCACGGCGGGCC